CCATTAAGTATGTTAGATGTGGTTTTTCACAGATTGAAAAGTCCTTCATTAGGTTGAAGTTGCCTTCTACTACTTTGCTGAGTATTTATCATAAATGGGTGTTGAATTCTGTCCAATGCTTTTCCTGTTGTCTATTTAGTTGATCATATGGGTTTTATCATCTTTTATTAATATGGTGTAAAAGATTGATTTTTGGTATGGTAAAACAAGCTTGCAGCACTTGGATACACCCCATTTGGTCCTGGTGTATAAACCTTTTTATTTGTTGCTGGATCCAGTTTGTTAATATTGTGTTAAGGATTTTGTATCTATCTTTGTGGGATTTAAATATAGGTATTTAAAAGTATAAATTTCCCTTTCAGCACTGTTTTAGCTACATACCATGAATTTGGATGTTTTCATTTTCATTTAGTTAAAATTATTTTCTAATTTCCCTTGTGATTTCCTCAATATGAGTTATTTAGAAAATATGTTAATTTCCATATATTTGGGGATTTCTTTCTGTTGGTGACTTCTAATTTAATTTCATCATGGTTGGAGACGATACTTCCTATGATTTCAATTTTGTTGTTGAGACTTATTTTATGGCACAGCATATGGTCTTCCCTGGAGAATGTTCCATGTGGACTTGAAAAGAATGTGTGTTCTGCTAGTGGTGGGTGGTGGTCTACAAATGTCAGGACAAGTTGACTAACAGCGTTCTCTTATATGCTTTTTCGTCAGGTTCTTCTATCAATTACTAAGAGTAGGATATTGAAATCTCCAAATATTATTGTCGAATTGTCTATTTCTCCTTCCAAATCTGTCACTTTTTCCTTCATGTATTTTGGGGCTCTGTTGTTAGGTGCATATACATTAATAGTTGTTATATCTCCCTGATACAGTGACCCTTTTTAAAATCATTTGAAATGTCCTCTATTTCTAGTAATATTTCTTGTCTCAAAGCCCACTTTGCCCGATATTAATATAGCCGTTCCAGCTTTCTTATGGTTACCATTTGCACAGTATATATTTTTCCATACCTTTACTTTCAAACTATTTGTCTTTGTATCTAAAGTATGTCTCTTGTAAACACCATATAGTTGAGTTTTGCTTTTTTTTTATCCAACAACTTCTACCTTTTGAGTATTTAGTCCAATCACATTTAATGAAATTATTGGTATAGTTAGAGTTATGGCTACCATTTTGTTATTTGTTTTTCAAATGTGTCATATCTTTTTGCTTCTCTGTCCCTCTCTTGCCGCCTTCTTTTGTTTAACATTTTGATTTCTGTTGATTTTTTAACTCTATTTTTTTGAGTATTGTGTTAGTGCCTGCTCTAGGGACTACAATAATATGCATTTCAATTTATCACAGTCTTCTTCAGATTAATACTAACATAATTTCAATAAAACATAGAAGTTTATTTCAATGTAGCTCCATTTCCTACTCCCTCCTTTGTGCTATTATTATAAAATACATTGCATCTATGTTAGAGTGTTATCATTATTGCTTTATACAATAATGTGCCATTTAAAAAAGAAAAATATTTATTGTGTAGGCAAATGTCTCCCCAAGATTCCCATCCTCTGGCTATTCAATCAAGGTACTGCCACGAAAGGACTTTACAAATGAAATTAAGGTTACTAAATGGGGAAATGATCCTAGATTATCCAGATGGGCCCAATGTAATCACACTGTAATGACATATAACCTATGAACAATAGAAGAGGGAGGTAGAAGAGTCCAACAGAGAAAACTGCAGTGGAAGAGAGAAACGAGATGAGGCAGAAGAGGAGATCAGAGAGATGAAGTATGAGAAGGACCCACATTACTGTTGCTGGCTTTGAGGATGGAGGAAAGGAACCAATAGCCAAGAATTGTGAGTGGCTTCTAGAGGTTGAGAACAACTCCTCTGACAGCAAGGAAATGGGGACCTCAGTCTTACAACCTCATGGAGCCGAATTTTACCAACAACCTGAATGAGCTTGGAAGTGAATTTATCCTAACCCTCTAGAAGGAATGCAGTACAGCCAAAACCTTGATTTTGAACTTCTAAAACATGGAGCAGAGAACCAACTCAGCCACATTATACTTGGACTTCCAAACTACAGAAGCATGCGATCATAAATGGGTATTGCTGTAAATGAGTACATTTGTGGTAATTTGTTACGTCAGTAATACATGTACACAATCCTTTATATTTACTCCTATATTTACCATTTCCAGTAGTCTTCCTTCCATCCTGTGGATTTGAGTGACCATATGTTATTTTCATTCTTAAGGGTTTCTTTGAAAGCAGATCCACAGGCAGCAAACGGAGTCTTTTTATCTCTTTAGTTTGCCACCTTATTTTTTGCCTTCATTTTTCAAAGCTAATTGTAACCAAATCCAACCAAAAATCCCTGGAGCTTCCTGAAAGTGCAAGCATCACCCATGAACCCACAGTCCCTCCGTTGGTCTTGAGTCAGAGATTCCCAAGGGGACTGTTATCCTAAGCAGGCTTTAAGATTAGATGTAGAAATACCAGACACTGTGGGGCCTACTGGGGAGAGTGGCAACTTAATCGGAATCTGCAGGCCCTAAATCTGAGTCAAAACCACAGGGTGGATTTCCAGCCCTTCCGAGCTGGCTAGAGGGGCTTGGGGCAGCAGGAGTCACCTCCCCTACACTCTTGTGAATCCAATAGTTCGTAAAAGGAAGGAAAGATCTGAGCTTGGTGTATAAAAGTCTGCTCCGTTGTACCCAGTGCCCCCCCTGAGCCTCCCCTACTCAGGAACCAGAGAGAAGTGTGCCAGTAGGTCATCCATAGCATATTCTGCCTGTACGGTTTTTAACTGCTGTAGCCTGTTCAGATCTGGGTAGGTCTGCTACATATTGAGAACATCTAGAATGTTCAGCTTTCTAAGTTTTAGGGGGTTTTGTTATTTTTATGAGAGATTTTTGAGGCCTCATTCTCTCTCCTGGACACTGAGATGAACACTAAGGCTGGCTCTGGGGCTTGCCCAGCTACCACTGGGCCTCCCAAGCTACAAGGCTTTGAACTCCCAAATCAGACTTCCAGGGAACAAGCCAGGAGTGAAAAAAGCTCACAAAGTGGAAGGCCAGTGAAGGAGAGACGGCTACCCCTCTTATCTGCCTCTTATCTGCCCTCTCTGGCCTCACCCCTAAAAATCCACACCCAGTTCACCTTCAACCATTCCCTAAAGGCTCCTCTCAGTCCTCTGTCCCCTCAGTTGGCCACCATCTGTCCTAGTTCCAAAAATCAGGTGAGATCATACATATGAAAGCACTTGGAAAAACTCAAACACTAGGTAATGACAAGTGTGCAATCATTTCTCCACATCTGGAATTAAGTCTCAAACGTGCATTTAATCCATCCCTCACTGAGTGCCCACATCTATTTCAGCTTATGAATCCCATGACCGCCTGACTCCTCTTGTGAGTATCAGGGGTGCCAAGCAGCAGTTCTAGTGTTATTTTATGGTTGATGTCCATAACCTTTCCCACGTAGTTTTTCCTTTTAAAATGTCTAACATTGGGGTACCTGGGTGGCTCAGTTGGTTGAACGCCCGACTCTTGGTTTTGGCTCATGTCATGATCTCATAGGTGAGTGGATGGAGCCCCCAAGACAGGCACCCCACTCAGGCTCAGAAGGGGGACTGCTTAAAGATTCTCTCCCTCTGCTCCTCCCCCCACTCGTGCACGTACTCTTTAAAATAAATCTTTTAAAAAAATAAAAATGCCTAACACTACCAAATAGTTTCTTAATCACATCTCCCTTTAAACAAAGAAGCAGACCTCCCTGTACACCATCTACTACAACATTGAGATCCCAAGTGTTTTCGTGCTGCCTACCACAGTATGTGCACATTTTATTATTGGTCTACACGAGTACTCCCCTTTACTTCCGATTTTTCTTACCTCTCTCAATGGATTCTTTCCCCTTAGAAATACTTAAGTGGCCAATCCCCCTTTATAATTCTATTCTTTCTAACAGAAAATAGTTAAGTTTCTTACCTTTTCCATTTCTCTTTAGCTCTCATAAAAACTCCTTTATTTCCGTAATGATTTAATATTATTTGTTTCTTTCCCAATTCTTAAAAATTATGCATGGCTGAACCATGCATGACTGAGCCTTAGATTTTATAACATCAAGTTTTTCTACTCATATTTCAGAATAGCCCCATTGTTTTGTAAATCTTCAACTGTAAAACAAACAAAAAAAAGTGCAGAGTTGCAAGATATGTCCATGAGACCACATATGTAAAAACATTTTTTCTAAGTTAGAAGAGACCAGTATAAAGCTGGTTCTGCTGTTTTCTCTGAATCTATGTTTTAAAAATAATTCCACTTTTTTCCATCTTTCAACAAAAGCTCTACATCCTAGTGATGTGTCTTCTTTATTATGGAGAAGGAAAAAAAAAAAATCCCTAAATCCAGTCTTTGAATTGAAGTGACAATCTGTAATTCAAGAGCAAGCCAATCCACAAAACCACTCCCAACTGTTTTGGGGGCCACATCTCCTCATTCACTATCTGCTGTTTTCTCATGAGCCAAGTTTCCACTCCCAGCATACTAACTGTTCAAATCTACTTAAAAAAAAAAAAAAAGCCAAGCCTATTTCTACAAATTATGCCAATTCTCATAAATCCTTCAATTAGGAAAGATGAAAACACTCTAAATTTCCTTTGAAAATAACTGCAGAACTTTGAGAATCAAAGTAATAAGATCACTTTAACACAACCTCAGCAAATCTGCTGAGCATGAGGCAACATAGTTCACAGGGAGGCAGGTCCCATCCTGTCCACTGTCAGATCAGCAACCCCTGCACACGTGGGGAGAAGCTACCACGCCCATGGAGGCACCTTGGGGCAGGTAGGCACTTCTCAACCACATTACGATGTAACTTGTACTGGGGAATAATCCAAAAATTCTAATATCTATCTACAGCAACTACATTTCATAACAGCATGGCTCGGTCCAATATACACACTTTATTTTAAATTATGCCACTGGCACTTGGGAAAAAAAGTCATTTATTTGCATTGCTTCCATTTTTCTACTGTAGTGTTAGGACTTGACATAAGCATCGCTCTTCTACTTCCTATTTACAACTCATTCAGAATATTACTACAAATACAATATACAACTTTTAAAAACTTATGGGGAACTGCAATTTTTGTTTTTCTTTCCTCTTTACAGTTTTCTCAAAATCATTCAACTTAAATGAAAATTTATATGGACATTTTCTGTACACATCTGAAAGGGCAGAGATCACACTGATAAAGCCAAAAGAATTTTGCACAAATACAATAAAATACAGAAAACAAAAACTATAGAAGATGTTATTAGGGGTACAAATATAAACAATACAGTACCATTTCAGTAATTTAGCAACATAACACTCATACTTCATAGAAATAAAACTGCAAACCTGGAGAATGCTCTGACAAATATTAAACATTATATATACAATGAGGTAAATGTACCTTGGTCTCTTGAGAGGTAATTTAAGTTTAAAGCAATTGACATTTTGAAGCATCTCCTTGACACATAAAGAAATCTCAAACACCCCATTCCATTGGCACAATGTGAAAAAGGGATATCAAAACACGGTTCATGATATTCAATTCACAAATCTTGTTAAAAAATAAAAACAAATTCACTTAAGTTCTTTTTTTAAGCTTTAAGAAACAGGTTGAATGTTATTAAACACATTCTTTAAAGTCTACAATTACAAATAAGATTGCATAATGGTGTTGAAAAGTTTAAGTGTACTGACAATCCTCAGAATGTCTTAGAATTCCAGCATTCCCAGAGAGAGGGCCCATGGGTAGTCCAGCATTCCGAAACAGACACAAGGAGCTACAGATTACATGTGCAGACCTATTCTTTAGGATCTCAAAAATGTCTGAACTGGCATTTCCTGCCACGCTATCACAGAACCATCATTTGGAATCTCCATCATTTGGAGCCAGAACACTGCCACAGTCAAGAAACAAAAAGAAACAGCTGACTTAACAATCACTCTTTCAGTGCAAGGATAAAACTAAACTCCTGATAGGACATGTCTAAGGGGATACTGATTTTGTTCTGCATTTTAATTAGCACTATGCCATCTTGTTTTATAAAATATTCTATACGGGACAGCTCTCAGATGTAGAGGAGCAACTGAAGGCAGCTCATGCATGAGCTGCAAAATGGCCGAGTGACCACTGAAATTTTGTAACAAGAACTGAAATGTGGAATTCTTGATGTTACTAACAATGTCACTGTGCACGGACTCAAGGCACTTCTTGAGCACTATCACTACAGCAGACTCACAGACTCCGCGCTTCGGACCTCGCCCTGTCCCCTCCAGGACCGGATGTGCTGCTGCTTCTGGCACAACTGCTGCTGCCGTGACTGCTACCTCGCTGCCTTCCCATTCCTTGGCCGCAGCTGAAGTCAAAACAAGGCAGCCAGCAGGGCCATCATCCACCCCATCTCCAAACCTGGAGAACCCTCCCAGCAACATCCAGTGACTCAAGGAAATGGAACCATGTCCCACCAACCAAGCTGACTTCCGTCAACCATTTTACTCTGGATTTCCAAAGCAGCTATTCAGTCAAAAGGCTGCTGAGAGGAGGTGGGCGGGGAAGGCTGGCGGCAAGGCAATTCATCTCTGAGTCAGGGACCAGCAGGAAGGTAGGCTGAGAGAAACTTAAGCTAAAGTGAGGAAGGGCGGGCCAGGGGGTCATACCTCCCTCATCCCCATTCCTCTGGGGTACTGACGAAATGGATGTGGACAAGTAATTGGTCTGAAGGTATATTTTAAACCAAGTTTAAATTTTGGAAGGTGAGCATCTGAAGATAGGCAGTATAAGCAAAGGCTTGTGAATCTAAATGAGAAAATCAATACTCTAGTCAAACGTATCTGCAGTTATGGCCACAGTAATCAGGATCTATTTCATTTTTAAGTGACTTTCATTTTCAATATTAACTAATCGGAGTTTATCAAACTGTCATTAGCCAGAAAAGGAATTTGCTGCAGTAATATGTAAACCGAATTTAGAACTAAACTCCAACTTTTAAAAAAATTCCCTGACTCACCAAAAGTACATTTTATCCACTTAGGCAAGAATAGTATAATTGCAACTCAATCTTTGATTTAATAAAGAATAGCTTCAGTAAAAGTTGATTACCTTATATGAAAGTGAGAAATCATGTATCTCAATTTTAAATCAGACAAGAACTTTTGGTATGTTCTTAAAATTATATAAAAATAGTTTTAGCATTGGTCCCCTGGATTTCATAAAGCAGATCTGGTAGGCATAGAAATGGCCAAGAAAAAAAAAAAGTACCTAATCAGAGAGCTAGAGATTATTAAAGAGGAAATATAACGTAATTATAAAACAAAGCCCTCAACGTCTGTCATTCATTTGCGTTGACAAAATCACGGTAACTACAGAAAAAAACTCAAATTTGGAGTCAAAATATTAACCTCTAAGCACATTTTTCCCCATGATGTTTTTAACACATGAAACTGACACTAAATTCCTATGCATATGTCATTCATTCTAAAATTACTTTGGCTTTAAGACCAAATAGTCTTTCAAATTTATTCTATGTATAAGAGAAAAGACATGATCAGAATGCAGCTCAGTCAGCGTAAATGGCCACTATCTCTTACTGACCAAATACTATAAAGGTTATTCTGACCCTTTCATTTGGAAATTGACAGCACTATAAAGTCAATGTCTTGCCTCACTGCTATGATAGTTTTTCTCCCATCAGAATAAGATCACAGTGATAAAGAGAACTCTGAAAACCGTAAAAGCCCTAAAAGACTTTTAGCACTGGAAGTAAAAATCAGTTACTATAAGCCAGTTTCAACTTAGTGTGAAGACCATGACAAGTTTGCTTTAAACATAGAATTTGACTGAGAACATCTGTAAATGGAGAACCAATACTCAGAATGTTCTTTAGCTACCACTCTCCCAAATATCAAGGGTGTACTAAACTTATTACCTAACCATGTAAATTAAGCAGTTGCAGTATCTGCACACAGAAGGAAAGACTGAATTAGAAGCTGCCTTCTTCAAAGTGTAGTGAGACCTCAGAACCACGCTAACTCTAACCTTAGTTACAAAGACAGAAAGTCCACCGAACACTGACTCCTACGTAACAACTATGACTCTCCTGCACACCTGTTTATCTACTCAAATGATTAACTACCTTTACCTTCCTAGAAAAAGGTCTATTATTCAACATTAACACACCCTAATTTTAAATGTAATTCATTTCTTAAAAAAATAACACTGTCTTTGATCAGATAAAGAAAAAAAATGGCTTACAGAATGCCACACAACTTTTCACAAGCAGCTAGACAAATTTTCCCTTTTAGAAAAATTAGTCTGTATGCTACAAGTTTTAAATTATTAGAGTACTATAAGCATCTACAGTGCCACTTTATTTTTTCAAGGTATACTTAGACAACACAATTTAGATGCAAAAGCTTGATGTGAGAATATTAAAAAATGACCATGATAACATTTATCAATTAATGCCACTTCATTTCTTTAGTGGTTTAAGCACATTTTGGTAGGAGAAAGGCATTTTCAAAATGGAATACCAAATGACATACTACAAAAAACCTTCCAAAAAACAAAACAGAAAAGTCTGGGTTACCCAAATAAATAAATTTTTTGAATTAAAATACTACAGCTTTTAAGACACACAGACTGTAAGCATTAGAAAGACACAGAAGCGGCACTTACTGGTATAGTACAATCCCATTTTGAAGGCATGTAATGTTCTGAATATGTGAAAGAACAGTAATAGTATACAAAATACAATTGCATAAATTATGTTCCTCACTACTATATGAGGTCATTTTTAGACTCAAGATAAGAGTTTTATAAGTGTTAGTTTTAAGATCCTGAAAATTATAGAACAGTACATTCAAAGTCTGAATCAAGGAACTCTTTAGTGGTTCAGAATCCTCTGAGAATGTACTAACCAGGAATAAATCACTTTCTTTAAAAATAAGAAATGTTTTGTATAACTCAACAATCCAGCTCCTTTACCCTTAAAGATGATCTTCAGCACAGCAGAGTTAACCTAAAGTTAAGACCAGCAATCATCTTTAAAAAAAAAAAAAAACAAAAAAAACAAGTTTTGTGTTAATAAAAAATAAAGGTAGACTACACAACATTTTGTAACTGTCCTGGGAAAGAAGTGTTCATAGTGCACAGAAAGGACCCACGTGGCTGTTTCCTGGGTCCAAAGAAATCCTGGGGAGTTTCTCGATGACCTTATTACACTGTTGCAAAAGGAAGCAATATCCTTCTATTCCCTCTCAGTGAGGTAGAACAATTGACCTCCCAAATTAAAACCCAGGAGCAGATCTGAAGGAAAAGCAGAGTTCAGGCAAAGCTGCAGAACTACATTTTGATGCCTTCCTGTTGACTGAGTTGTGACAATGTTTTCTTAATACGCAAAGCCGTAAGCCTCGCTGCTCCGTTGGCATACCAACATTCTCTCATAATTTTAGCCATTACTCTCAAAGCCTGCAAAAAAATAGAAGAAAAATAATTAACGAGTGCCAATGAGTGCTTTCCATTCATCTGAATAAGATCTTTATTCTGTACATCTTCTTTCCAAGTGACATATGTTCAATTGTTTTGTTATATTTCCGCATTATTTGTAATAGCAAATAAAGAGAAATGACTTCAATTCCCATCATTGGGGTACTGGTGCAGCTGGAAAGCAGATGGATGAGGGCCAACTTACTTAGCAGACGTGAAAAAGCTGAATCCTAAACCAGAGCTGTCAAGGCAAAAAAGGAACCTCACTCACACAGAAACTCGCCTAGAACCAAGGAATTAACTGCATTGAGTTCCTCTGATGTGAAGTTCAAGCTAAACACATGAGGATCAGCCAAAAGAGCTGGAACCCCAGATACCTGCCCCTCCCCGAGCTTCACACGGTTGGGTGACTGTCCCACTCTCACCCCAGCAAAAGATTAGAGGTTGTATCTGGGAGGGTAAAACAGAGATTTCCAACTTGGGGAACATGGGGGCAAAGTTCCATACTAACAACTCACTAAATGATAAGACCACAGGTTTTCTCCCTAAAACACAGGCAGCAATTTGTAGATACTCCTCCAGGTAAGAGACTGAGTCTTCTCTGGGAAATGTGAGCCCAAGAGGAAAGACCTGAAGATACTGACATATCAGTGGCTCCCAACAACTGATGGAAGCAACCCAGTTAGGTCACCCTAAAGGTCACAGTGGGTGAGTGCTGTTCATATGCACAAAGCTTCCGTCAGCTTCCAGTGTGCTGTTTTTAAACATGAAGAGAACAGGAGTTTATGTGCTATGTGCTATGGTGAGAGCTGTGAATTGTGTAAGACTGATGAATCACAGACCTGTACCCTTGAAACAAATAATACATTATATATAATTAAAAAAAAGAGAGAGAGAATAGGAGTTTGATCAGACATCAAAGAAAGCAGTATGAATGCAGAAGCTGATACAAACAGACTAAAGTAACTTGGACAAAACAGTTGTACAGAGAAGAAAATAGCAATAATTTATTATTAATATCCTCAAAGAGATAAAGAAAATACTCATATTCATCACTGACAGTTTTTTGCTTCTTGTTTGACTTTGGAAAAACGTGACAGAAGAATTGGAAAATAAACCTGATTAAAAAAAGATACAAGTTGATAAACCTTGCAGAAAGTTTAGAAAAAAATCAAGGATGGATAAGAGGGGAAAGATAAGAAAATGAGAAGGCCTCTTAAGGGGTCTAACATTCAAAACCAGAGTGGAAGAAAGAGAACAGAGGAAAACAGAAAGGAACAAATCAAAGAAATATTTCAGGGACATTTCCTAGAAATGAACATTAGTTTCCATATAAAAACGACCAAATGCCCAACACATACATATACTCAATTCTACAAAATTATAAATTTATGGAGAGCCTACCATTTACCAGAATTCATCCTAGGTACTGGGAATACAAAAGAGAACAGACAGACAAAATCCCTATCCTCATAAAGCTCACATTCTAGGGAGCCAAAGCTTATCGCTAATAAACAAGTGAAATACATGGACTGTCAGTGGTAAGTGCTAAGGAGAAACATCATTTAGGGAAGGAAATAAAATATGCCAGGGAAAGAAGGTGATATTTTAAAGGGATGTATAATGTCTACTAATAAGGTAACATCTGAGCAGAGACTTAAAAGATGGTGGGAGTTGAATAAACCAAGAAACAGGAAGTCATGGGGTCCAGGAAGGAAGATTCACTGTAACAGAGGCAAAGGGAATCCCAGGACAAAAGGTGAGGGATATCCCAAGATGAAAGCTGCTCAGCTGGCCTAGGGAGCTACAAGTCCAGACTGGAAAAGATCAGAAGGTTCTGGAAGATACTTCTTAGTTATTCTATCAGTTTCATGTTCTTAATGTGTTTCAACTATTGAGAGGAGATTTATAAACCCCAGAAAAGCGAAAGACTGAATTAGTGTAAAGTGAAATAGAAAACTAACCAAATGGAGAAAAAACAAAAATGACAGCAATGGCATTAATTCAGCACGATGTGACAGTAACTGCAAATTGCATGTGTACTCTTAATGTTTTCTGTTAACTTTTCCTCATGCTTAAAAAGCCATCTGTTTAATAATGTGTTCTACTTATTTAATGAATACATGAATACTTCGAGTTTGCACTTTGCAATATCAAGATCAAATCTGTAAAAGACAAAATCTAGCCCAATTTCATTTGTTAAACATGCAAATTCTCTGAGCACACTAAGACGTATTTTTATCTGGGCCTAGATACTTGATTTTGTTGGGAGGTAGCTAAGGAGCTCTCTCAATGTCTCGACCATTGAGTCCTACATTATTATTATTTTTAAAGATTTTATTTATTTGACAGAGAGAGACACAGCGAGAGAGGGAACACAAGCAGGGGGAGTGGGAGAGGGAGAAGCAGGCCTCCCGCCGAGCAGGGAGCCCAACGCGGGGCTCGATCCCAGGACCCTGGGATCATGACCTGAGTGGAAAGCAGACGCTTAACGACTGAGCCACCCAGGCGCCCCGAGTCCTACATTATTTTGATATGTAAAATCAACTACTTAAGTCACTAGCTTTTTATTCCTCTTCAGCTATAAAACTTCACATCTGGAGAAAAATGCTCTGCCTTGCCAATATTATAACAGTGACAGCTAACAATTACATATAGATTAAATAAAATTTGTCTTAGAAATTCTTTAAATTTACAAGTACAAAAACATTCTAAAATTTTTGTAAGAGCTGGGGTTGAGAATCTCAGACACTGCTGGAAAGCATTTTCCCTACATTCCTGGTGAATGGTCACACAGGTAATCAGATGAATAAGATGTCAAATCATCAGAACCATCCTCCCAATCACCTTATCCAACTCCCTCCTTTTAAAAGGCATGTTAGGGTCTGGAAAACCGAAATGATTTGCCCAAAGTCAGACTCTGAAATGGTGGCCAGGCTGTTCTAGAATCCAGGCTTCCTAATTTCCGTCCAGATCCATCCAATTGTTCTGGGCTGCCCTGATCAAAAGGACACATTCATTTAAAATGCATGTGGGGGCACCTGGGTGGCTCAGTCATTAGGCGTCTACCTTCGGCTCAGGTCATGATCCCAGGGTCCTGAGATCGAGCCCCACATCGAGCCCCACACATCGGGCTCTCTGCTCAGCGGGAAGCCTGCTTCACCCTCTCCCACTCCCCCTGCTTGTGTTCCCTCTCTCGCTGTGTCTCTCTCTGTCAAATAAATAAATAAAATCTTAAAAAAAAAATAAAATGTAGGTGACCTCTATTTGCAAAGGACATGATACTATATATAGAAAACCCTAAAGATTCCACCAAAAAACTACTGGAACTGATAAATGAATTCAGTAAAGTCGCAGGCTACAGAAATCTGTTGCATTCCTATACACTATTAATGAAACAGCAAGAGTGAAATTAAGAAAACAATCCCATTTACAATTGTACCCAAAACAACAAAGTATCTAGGAATAAACTTAACCAAAGAGGTAAAAGACCTGTACTCTGGAAACTATAAAACACTGATGAAAGAAGTTCAAGACGATGAAAGAAATGGAAAGACATTCTATGCTCATGGGTTAGAAGAACAAATATTGTTAAAATGTCTACACTACCCAAAGCAATCTACACATTTAAAGCAATCCCTATCAAAATACCAGCAGCATTTTTCATAGAACTAAAACAATCCTAAAATTTGTATGGAACCACAAGAAGAACCAAAGCAATCTTAGAAAAACAAAACAACAAAACTAGAGGTCTCACAACTCCAGACTGTTATATTACAAAGCTGTAGTAATTAAAACAGTATAATACTGGCATAAAAATAGACACAGAAATCAATGGAATTGGACAGAAAACCCAGAAATGAGCCCATGATTATATGGTCAATTAATCTTTGACAATGGAGGAATGCATATACAAAGGGAAAAAGTCTCTTCAACAAATGGTATTGGGAAACCTGGACAGCTACATGCAAAAGAGCAAAATCGAACACTTTCTTACACCACACACAAAAATAAACTCAAAATGGATTAAAAACCTAAATGTGAGACCTGAAACCATAAAAATCCTTGAAGAGAGCCCAGGCAATAATTTCTCTGACATTGGCTGTAGCAACATTTTTCTAGATATGTCTCCCGAGGCAAGGGAAATAAAAGCAAAAATAAACTATTGGGACTACATCAAAATAAAAAGCTTCTGCATAGCAAAGTAAACAACAAAACTAAAAGCAACCTACTGAATGGGTGAAGATTTTTTTTAAATTTATTTATTTATTTTAGAGAGAGAGAGAAAGAGAGAAGAGAGTGGGGCAAGGGGCAGAGGGAGGAGAGTCTTAAGCAGACTCCGCACTGAGTGCAGAGCTCGACAGGGGGCTCAATCTCACCACCCTGAGATCATGACTGAGCTGAAACCAAGAGTCAGATGCTTAACTGAACTGCACCACCCAGGCACCCAGAGAAGATATTTTTAAATGACATCTCTGATAAAGGGTTAGTATCCAAAATATATAAAGAACTATATGATATAGCTCAATACCCCAAAACCAAAGAATCCAATTAAAAAATGGGCAGAAGACATGAACAGATATTTCTTCAAAGAAGACATCCAGATGGCCTACAGACACATGAAAAGATGCTCAACATCATGCATCATCAGGGAAATGCAAATCAAAACTACAATGAGATATCACCTCACACCTGTCAGAATGGCTAAAATCAAAAACACAAGAAACAACAAGTATTGGCAAGGATGTGAAGAAAAAAGAACCTCCTTGCATTCTTGGTGGGAATGCAAACTGGTGCAGCCATTGTGGAAAACAGTATGGAGGTTCCTCAAAAAATTAAGAAGAGAACTACCCTATGAATCAGGAATCACACTACTGGGTATTTACCCTCCCAAATACAAAAACACTGAAAGGGTTACATGCACCCCTGTGTTCGTTGCAGCATTATTTTACAATAGCCAAACTATGGAAGCAACCGTGTCCACCGACAGATGAATAGATAAAGAAGATGTGGTATATATACAATGGAATGCTGGCCATAAAAAAAAAAAAAAAATGAAATCTTGCCATTGGCAACAACATGCATGGAGCTAGAGGGTAAAATGCTAAGTGAAGTCAGTCAGTCAGAGAAAGACAAATACCATATGATCTCACTCATATGTGGAATTTAAGAAACAAAACGAGCAAAGAAAAAAAAGTTAAGAGCGAGAGAGAGACACACATAAACCAAGAAACAGACTCATAACTACCGAGAACAAACTGATGATTACCAAAGGGGAGATGCATGGGGGGGGATGGGTTAAATAGGTGATGGGGATTAGAGAGTGCACTTCTTAAAAAAAAAAAAAAAAAAAAAGATGGTGAACTTAAACCCATCCATACCGATAAGTGCATTAAATGTAAATGGAATGAACATTCCATGTAAAAGACAGATAAAATGAAAATGCAGGTGCCTTGGTTCATTGGTAGATTTAAATACTATTCTGAGACATTGATGGCCACTGCAAATGCTCCATGGCCCTTTTGATGTCCTTGAGATTGAACATGAAAACCAAATTACTCTGTTTTTCATTCACTGGTTTAACTGCCATGGGGAAAAAAAAAGAAAAAGAGAAAGAAGAAAAAAAAAAAGAAAAGAAAATTCCTGTGTCTATTTTCCTTAAAGAAAAGTAGCAAATTTCCACATACCAAGCAGAAGCAGTTTAGAAAATTGTGTAGTATCCAAAATAAATACTCACTTCACAACTCTGCCATCTGTTTGGAATATTTGGCCTTAACTTCTGTTCACAAACAACTTTTCTCATTTCTTCAACTGATGGATCAGAAGGTACAAGATCATAATAAGGCAGCTGGTAATCTTCATGAATTCCTATATTGGTTAAAAAAATATATATATTTTTTGAAGAATTTACTCAGATAATGCCAGACCATTCTTTGTCCAGGCACACCCAAGAGTCCTATTTCAGGGTTCCATTAATTAATTAGTGAAGTGGAACAGGGCTTCTAGCTTGCTCTATCTCATCTACATCTGCATCAACAACCCATCTCTCTGAGTTGGTACTGGGCCCACACCTTGAAATTAAATATCACTATGGGATCAGCAAAGGCTATCTTAAAGATGGTTAACTATGAGCTGTAATGACCTGATTGATATTTTCCCAAAGAACCCTCATGTGCAAGAAATGAGAGTTTTTATTCTGTGAGTACTCAGCCTTGGTATAGGGATATACACTCTACCACGGAGATGTAAATCCTACAGGCAAATCTGAGGTGCAAGTCCTTTACCTCTACTTGGATCTGTCCTCTTTGCTACCATACAGAGACACACTCTCCCTGTTACTGCCATATAAACCTGAGACCCTAGTCTCAACCAAGCCTGGGCCACCAAGAATGAGAAACTATTGCTCAAGTAAATATCCAAAGTGCTCAATCTAAAATTAACTTAAAATAAACTTAGTTTAAAAAGTAGTGTAATGGCAATGTAATTGTATTCCGTATATACAACTTCCAGCTAAGAAGTTAGACAAAATAACCACACATTTGGGGTCGGGGGGGGGGGGCGGGTGAGTTTGACCCAGGTACATGCTAGAAACAGCTTCCTGGGTGGCCTCTCAAGTAGTCTTCCATTCTAAATAACTATATTCCAAGATAACAAGGGCTTGGTTTCTGATGCTTCCCAGGATTCAAATGGAAATAGAAAAAGAATACACTAAAATAAGGATGTCATGTCATTTCCCCTCACTGCAGGTTTTATCTCTTTGGCACTCTCAGTGATCACCTGGTGAACATAATTTTAGACCGCTGATGTGTATAATTTCATTCAATAAAAAAAAGGCTATCCCAGAACAGCTTCTGTTCATAATAAACTGTTGGGGGAGGGGGAGAAATTTACCACCAATGGAACATCGTCGAGCTATTTCCCAGAATACTAAGCCCATTGCATAGATGTCGGCACGTTTGAAGGATTCAAAGTGTTTCATATTTATGGAATCATCTAGAACTTCAGGGGCCATGTACCTAAAAAAGAAGTCAGCAATTTACTTTATGGAATGGTGGTCACTTTACTTTTGAACTGTTTCATATATTTTCTTTTTTTCCTGAGAATTTTTTTAAAAATCGGTATTAACTTTAAGACTTTTCTCCCCTTTCAGCATGGTTCTGCTACTTTTTAAAATGACTCATACTTCTTATAAAAATTTTCCCAAAGTTCATAAAGTACAAAGTGAAAAATCATTCCATTACCACCACCCAGTGTTAACACTTTGATCAACATTCTTTCAGATACCACTATACATATATAGACATATATATCCAGTATTATATAACTGAGACCATATTAAACTCAAGAAAAATATTAAATATCCAAACTGATTTGAAAATTAATGTCAACTAAATGCCACGAAAAGCTGAAACAGCAATTTCATGCTATCTGCCTTATGATCTTAGCTTCTAATGAAAGACACATATGTAACAATCATGACTATTAAGAATGTCTTAACACAAACCACCTACTTTGTCAAGTACTATGTGGGGACCATATATTTTAATCTAGAAGTCTTCTCACTAAAACAGGATGAAAGGATGAGGACATAATCCAGGGAACAAAATAATAGATAAAAAATGAATGCCAGTCCTCCTACTGATGCCACGTTGTAGGGTTCTGAAGTTTTAAAAACCCTACTAAAGTTATACATCAGGATTCATGAAGACCTGCAGCGACCACTGTCCTGGGAGCCTAAGTCAAGAGTTCCGAGAGCCCTTGCTGAATCCAGAAATCATAAATAGCACTGAGACAGAATGAAGCTTGGCTCTATCCAAGGCCAAGGCAGTAATGTGGAGATATGCTGTGGCAACATGCTGTGATAACACACAGAGTAAGGCCTTTTGGGTGAGAAAGGCTGAGGTTCGAATCTCAGCTCTTCAGGTTACCATGTGTATGAGGCTGACCCCGTGACTTGCCTTCCATGGGGCTGTTTCCTCATCTGTGAAATGAGGACAACGTCACCCACCTAGTCATGTTCTTTAGAAAACCTGTGGATTCAACCAACGCAAGGCTGCTCTCAAGCAGCTTGCAATCCAATGGAACATATACACAAATAAATGGAGAGTTATAATGTGCTAAGTGCCCTCATGGTCCAGGTTCAGCCTGCTATGAGAGCCCTTGGTAAGGGCACCTCAGTCCGGAAAGGGCTTCCTCTGAGAAAGGAAGGGTGAGTACAAGTCAGGGAAACAGCAGGGCAAAGTCTGCTCTAGGATACAGTACATGCAGAAATTCTAAGGAAGAAAGAAAGGTGTATTTCCAGGAACTAAAAATCAGAAAATAGTTGGGCTAGCTACAGCATAGCATTTGAAGAGAGCATTAACTGAGATTATATATATATATGACACATTAAAATGACTAGCACATACTGGGCACCCTAGAAGCATCAGCTACTATTGTTATTATAATTAATATAACGAATGATAATATTTTCTGGAAGGGCCACCTTTCATCAGCAGGCATCTTTAAAAGTCAGGTAACCTTGGCTTCAGAGCAGGCAAGACCATGAGATCTTCTACCTGTGGGCAATCTAATAAAGTACAGGTTTGAGTTTCAGAAGATATGTACATAAAAATGAGAAGGAAATGAAAAAGTTGATTTCAGAAGATATTAAACACTCTTCACAAGCATACCTTTTTGTTCCCACTCTGTGATTTGGAGCAATATCAATTGTATCTGTGGCTGAATCGTGTCTCACTGCCAGTCCTAAGTCTGCAATACAGCAAGTTCCATTCTTCTTTACCAAGATATTCTTGGATTTCAAATCTCTATGAGCAATGGCTGGCTTCCCTAAAGGAACCAAAAGTAAACGTGATTGCTTAAAAGGTGATACCAATCACAATTCTCCCCCTTAGGTTCAAAGCCTCTACTCCTATCCCAATGTCAAAGCATTTCAGCTCACATCACCCACAATACCTGGACAATTACTAAACAACCTCAAGTGAATCATTATACCAAAAGTTGCTGAAATTAAGAAAATAGAGAAAATAAGATGCTCTAAAAAATGGTGCTCAAGGGCGCCTGGGTGGCTCAGTCGGTTAAGCGACTGCCTTCGGCTCAGGTCATGATCCTGGAGTCCCGGGATCGAGTCCCGCATCGGGCTCCC